GGAGTGAGAATCAAGGATGATACTAAAGGTCTGTTCTCTAATCTCAGCCCATTCATTTCCGAGAGAGTAATGTGAGTCGACTTAGGTGGGAAGTGGAGCCTTTCGGGGTGAAGCATCCCGTTATTATTTTCCGAAATCATTTATGACTAACCCATTGGTTAACTTTTATCATGAAATCAATGGCTATTTCGAAACAAATCAGGTCCTGGCTACAATGAGGATACTGGAAACTGCATGGCCACGCTGGAGTAAAGTCGATTTTGGAAAGTTGTTTTCATTGCCAAAATTGTTCTTCTGATCTCTAAGGTTGCTCAGAGCTTTAGGACAGAGTCATTTCTGTGTACAATTGCCAGGTTTGCCGCTCGTGGAGGAAGTCCGGTTCGCTCTCGAGATGACGGTGGCCCGAAGGAGCAAAGTGCGAATCCGAAAGATATCTATCGGTATGGAATCAAGAAAGAATCTGGAGAACACTGTTTAGCGTAGGGTGAGAGCGGGAGTTTCAGGTACTTACGACCGGCCGCCAAGGGGTGTGTGGAAGTGGTTGATCCGGAGTGTTCAGCGATTTATGCGTTGTATCTTAAGAGAAAGCCTAGTAAACGACGAGGAGTTATTAATTACACTTACTGAAGTTGAAAAGACTATGATTGACAGGTTCTGATTGAGTTTAACATCTGGCTCGAAAGATTACGCCGCTCTGACACTGAACCATATTCTGTTGCTCAGCCGAAATCCTAAAATAATTCATTCTGATGGGAGCCGTCTAACGTTGGCGAGGAGTTTTGGATTCCCTGGAAAAGCGAATATCTACCCAAGTTGCAGACAGTCTATTGTTGATTAGGGTGAAGAGGACATTTAAAATCCGGGAAAGTAGTTCAAATGGGTAATCAAAATGCTCCTAGGGAACAGTGGGCAAAAGAGTCAATCAACAGGATCCAGGAAGCAAGTGACGAAAAGACACTGGAAGTTCACGTTCGGAGGAATAAGGAAATTTACCGGAGGGACTTCTGTTAAATATATCACTTTAAGGTATCAGACGAGCCAAGTTTTGAAGATAATGCGAACCAGTCCAGATCACATACTAAAGAATATAACTAACCCTATTCGGAGGAGACATGTTGGATCCCCATGGCAATCAAGTAGCATTATTCTTAGCCCAAACCTGTTTTGTGTACTGAGGATGCTTACGTTTTGCTTGTCGCAAAGTATTGATCATTATTCTGACTTTTACAGTTTCAATTTTGAGTGTATTTCACTTTCTATCTGCTACTTAGATCATTGACGCTCATTCACATGAAAATGATTTCCCACTTATATTACAATCCCCAACTGGCTCGTACACGCATTCGCGGTTTCTAATCACCCTTTATCCTATTTGACACTGTTGGATACATGGAAGTGCAGGATTCTGCGATGATGATGATGCTGATGCTGATGCTGATGATGATGACGATGATGATGCTGCTGCTGCTGCTGCTGATGATGATGATGATGATGATGATGGTGATGATAATAATAATAATAATGTTGAGGATGAAGATGATACATGTGCCAAATAGCATCCGTGATGAACAGTATGGTTTACTTTATGGAAACGGATCATCACCTGTTCGTAATCTGTATTCCCTAATGCATTTATACATCCTAAATTGTGCTATTGGTTTGTCCAATTAACCCAGTCGCATGCACGTAGAAACACGTCTACTGCAACACACACACACACACATATATATATATATATATATATATACATATATATATATATATATATATATATATATATATATATATATATATATATATATAAACACGATGCGGAGTTCGGCCCAAGCAGTATCGACAGTCGATCTCGCCACGTAACGAATAACATTCCCTGGCCTGAGTCGAGTGCACGCTTGCGCATGTATTCAACTCTTGTCAATAGCTTGTTTACATCATTGACCTGTCTTTTTGCCCACCCATGGGCCATGGCCTAGGGGTTGCATCCACATGCTTACCATACATGAAATAACAACATAATTTGTTACACGATTAGACTGGAACGGAATAGTATCGAGCATGACCACAAACCAATTAAATAATCACTTTCACAATTTTGTTGATCGATTCCCATCCTGATAATGAAAACATTCAACTTGAAGTTTTCTCATATAAAAAGATGAAATTCAGAATACAAATAAACGCTTTATGAAACGCTATTTGTAGAGGAAGAATAGAGCTAAATCTTTTTCTGTTTCGAAAACAATGTTGACACCGATTGTTCGTGTGTGTGAGTGTGCTTGTGTGCATGTGTGTGTGTATGTGTGTGTGGAATACTGCCAGTACATCACACTTACACGTCGGAAGTTGTATTTGTGCACGCACTTTTGAACTTACCTTTTCCATACAGTTTTGTATTTGTGGTTCATTGTAGTTCACTGTGAGGGGCATTTGACTCAACGCAAACCGAGTAATGATGAGGCAGAGCATTGCGTAATAGACCATCTCGAGTAATTGTACCCAGCGTCCATAAGTTTCCCTGATTATGTAAATAAGCACGCATGTACTCAGATTATCGTGCGACAGAGAATTGATGTAGTTAATAGTGACATGATTACGGATGCCCAGAGTCTAATTCAGTCTACGGGAACTCAAACATCTTGTGATCGTAGTCATATTATGTACGAAAAATCCCACAGAACACATTGAGAACAAAACAGCGTAGTGAACAAGCTCGTTTTCAGTTATTCGTACCCATACCAATACATAACATTAAATATGACTCAAACCAACAAAGGGGATGATCATCCAGATCTGTCTGTGCACATGTGTGTGTGCGTGTTTGTGTATGCTTGTAATCATATTAGGTGACTAGAAAGATGTTAACTTGTCCTATGATATCCATCATTTTGATCGAGAATTGCTGAAAATCTTGGAGAGATGTTTAACAGTTTTGTTTACCCATAATGCCGCACCTGTGTTTGCCATGAAACAGAGCACAATCGAACCAATGTGGACATAACTGACGAACAAATATGTCACATTATCACTGCTAGACATCGGTTTCATCGTGGAAGCATTACTATTTCATATAAGCGTAAATGCACAAGATGTCACTTATATCCTACACACCAGATTTCCATTTCTTTCCTCTCAAGAGGTCTGTTCCATGCGCGTTGCAACATCTGTTTATATATTGGGTACCGAAGAAAACCAATGAAGTTTCCTTTGCGAAATTCTAGCTGTTTAGCCAAAAATACACATGACGAAGTAATTCTTGTGAAAACGAAAATAGGAATAAAAAGGAATAAATCAAATTCCTTGATGTTCTTTAACTGAGTGACCTATTGCCTTCCGAATGCAATGAAAACACTTTTGATTTTCTTTCGTAGTGTATTCCATGCAAATGTGACAGAGAGAATCACCTTCAATGTTCTGAATACGATATCTCATTTTCTGTTGTATTCCAGTTATCGGAACAGGAGGGTGCTATTTGATTCTGAGAAAAATTGATTTAGTTCCTGCTCAAAACTGACAGATTACTTTACCCACAAACATGCCAAATAACTCACGGTGACCTGGTTTGTACGTGAGAGATGTAGTCCAAAAACAGCTAGCCAAAAAGTAATACACATATGCTAACTCGGATTAGCAGAATGCGAGTACCAAATTAAAACAGCCTTACTTCGCAAGTACGCTGTGAGTGACCTCAAATTGGAATTAGCTTATACGAAAGAAGATAATACATTTCAAAGAAATAAACATACCATTTCATAGTCAGATAAGCGGTACAAAGTGGATGAACCAAAAGATCACTGTGTTTTTCGTTTATCATAATCTGCAATTAAAATTTTGGAACATTTATGAGTATCTTTCTTGTGAACAGTTTCCGTTTATAAGTCCTCGGTGGGAGTCATACCACGAATATTTTGATGGAAATATGTGTGGATTATTGCAACCATTTACAACGAGAATTTGATGAAACAATAATAATAATTATGCATGCCCGGACATTTGGTCGCCGGCCGTTTGGTCGAAAGAACCTTTGCTCGCCAGACACTTCGATGATTGAGTTATATTGTATTCACTCAAGTCTGTCGAATGTCGCACCCTTAGGTGTAGCCCATCCCCTTGGCTATTCTCAGGATCTATAGTTAACACTTGGTAGTCCAGAGTTATTGAGGCATACATTGATCACGAGTCGGTGAGCGGAAAGTCTTACGCTTTGCTGGTATGATTTGTTATTTGATCCGGTTTCGAAGACACAAAGTGCAAATACATCACAGTCAAATTCTTTTGTCCTTTGTGAACTCACAACAGCTTCACTCTAAAATTCCTAAAGTCGAAGGCTTGAAACAAAGGTCAGCTGAAGAGACAAACTGCCGTCTACCACAATAGTGACCAGTGAATCTGGAACTCAAGTGTTTGTCCTTTTTGAGGTGATAGACACTTGATCCACTTGACTACCTCAGTGTGTGGACAAAATTATTCGCCTTAACGATTGCATGCGGCTAGCAAAACAGGATTTATCACTGGCCTTGTCCTAACCACCGACTGCCTTCAACAAACATTCCATAAACATTTCCATATTGTTTGCAATAAATGCGAAGATATTTGCCTCACTTGTATGTCACTCATTCCATGAAAGTTTAGTGCAAAAATGAGCTCAGTAATAATACCTGTGTGATATTTGTGAAATGAACGGGAAGTGTCAAGTTATGTTACGAGTTCACCACACAACCATTGGTGTTTGCTGTGATGTTTTTGTTTGGATATATGGTGCATTTTATCAGTTTGTTCAAACAAAAGTATTTAACACAAAAACAAATTGAACATTCATTCCTTGGTTTCTCCATGGGTCCTTTTACAACTTTCTGGATTGAAAAACAGTTCTTATTGTACATTGTCCGTTACACACGAAGTCCTCTGATGTGTGGATATTGTGATAGATTTTATGTCAGCATCTTCATTCATCTTTCCGTCTCAAGCAAGTTATGTGCAAGCTCCATTACTATTGAACTCACCTTCATTAAATGGAAAGCTGAAGTTGTTTTCCGGGTTTGATCGCCTGACGAAGGCTGGAACATGGTAAAATCAAATCGGGTCTGAAAGTAGGACAGTGGATGAAAGCGGAATGATCGCCTGAACTAAGTGCATAGGATACCTTGCAATGCGGTTGAGCATCAAGTGAATCAGGCGTTAATTGAGACCTAACTAGTCAACCAATCAAACTGAATAAACGACTACCGAGCTAACCAACTAACCAACGAGCTAACTGAATAATTACCTATTCGAACAATTCGATAAACGTATTTTATAGTTAACTGGTGTCAAATTGGCATACCAATTATATTAGAAAATGATAATTTTACTCTCTGCATTAGCATTGATATCACGAAATTTTTTTGACACATTTCAGATGTTAGTGGTAACAAATAAAAACATTGCTGTGGTAATGCCCACTACGAATAGCATTGTGTTTTACCCTCGTTTATTGACCAGCTACAACCCAATGTTAAGACAAACAACAAATTGGTTTTGCAGGCTTTTACCTATCAATCTAGGTGGCTGTCTTGTTTTGTTCACACGGGATAGACTCGCAAATTGACCGCATTCTTTGGTGAAGAAGCAACCACGTTACCGTACAGACACAAAATAAATGAGTGTTTTCGACTCCTAATTCGTTCATCTGCAGGGTAGTCTGAGGTCGATTGTAATCTCGTCCAGGGTACATGTGAGACCTCTAATCTATCGATCGCCAGATGAAAAGTGAACACCATATCAACCGGGATAATTTACGTTTATGCTAGAAGTTGCAATTGCTTGGTACATAATAACGCCCGTCAGACATTAGTTACACAACCATGATATCAATTGAACAATCAAAGTCCTCATTTGAACCCCTTCGTACTCATGTTTGCGTTTTCTTGCACGGCAAACTTTCATGTCAGCAATGATTGTTGTCCCTTGAGAATCGTACTAAATAAGAATTAGTCAAATATTCACTCGGGCATGTATGTTTACGTTCTCCTGGCGTTTTAATTCACATGGCAGGCTTGGTTCGTGAAATATTTCAAAGTGTTTATTTTATCCTGGTAGTGATTTACTGTAATATCATCCAAGTCATTCAGACTGGATGGAAATCTTGTTTACAGAGCTGGTTACTTAGGAGAATAGTGGATAAACAACCTACCCCGTGGTCTCCGGTGTTTCGTGTCCCACATTCCGTGACGAACTGATCCATAACCAACTGTGAAGCCGAGAAGGAAATCCGGGAATACGAATTAGCTGTGGATACACGAACGGTGAGTCCGGTTGCTCACTAAGATACAACCCCTCCGATTGGAAACGGATGAACTGGAATAGTTTTTTGGTGTACATGAGTCAAATACGTACTTCCCCAGGGAGCTAAATTGAGCCTGATAGAAACACAGGTGAGCTCGATAATGCATCCTGTTGGATCTTGATGAAATCTTGAGAGCTTCGATTAGATAAAATGTTGAGTAATAACCTGCAGGATATTGTATTTATGGTAAACTGATGAAATAATACACATGAATCTAGCGTTTGAGTATTTCCATGTGTGAATATTATTTGTTGTAACACCCTAACACTCTCAAACACTGATGATGATCCAAGTTTGTTAGAGGAAGCAATTCAGTAACAAGCTCTGGGCCAGATCCTGTTTACCAGCGGACTGATACGACCACAGAAAGAGGCGGTTAAGAAGTAGATTGCATCCATCAACCTGGAGCCATGGGCAGAAGAATTCATGGCCACTTCAGCGATCGACCACCACCAAGAAAACGGAGGATACCAAGGATCAAACGGTTCGCATTAAAACCTCTGCAGTTAGAAAGATGAACCGAATCGTAAGACTTCTTTTCCCTACAAGTTATTGGGGACCATTAGGACATACAGGCACGAATTATGTGTAGAAAAATAAGCATACAACTCACAAACGCACATGATGAGAAAGGACACGGTTTACACAAGTCGCATGTGAATCGATCATGGCAGAATCGCTCATGATAAAACAGATTAATGAGACGACTGCACAAAGTTTGCCATTTTGAATTGTGTGCTGTGGTAAACACCACTATTTTCTCATCACAACGCTACTTGGAAGTGTTGGAAAAATGTATTCCATCACCTAGGTGGTCGGTCGCACGCTGACCAAGTGAGATTACGTTCATTCGTATCGTCCCTTGTAAATACCTTACTTATTCTTGTTAACTCCAAATATGTGAACCGTGCGGTCCTCAGAATTAGGTAAAATATAAACTATGTTGATCCCTCATAACTGTTTTAGCTTCTCAGTTTTCAGTACGGAACACAAACAAGAAAAGCACACGTGGATCAAATTTTATATTTCCAAACAGTACCGCATTGTAGTGGAAGAGGTTAGAGGTAAAAATATGCTTCTTTTCATGTTTGATGTTACTTTCACAATGAATGGCCGTACGAATTTCGCAGTAGAACACAATCACCAGTGGACCACAGTTTTCTCTAAACAATATTTCATATGCAGTTTACTGCCATTTAACAAACCGGCTTAATCCTCGACCATTCAGCACGTGAATGCAACAAATCAAAGTCCAGCTGATTGATTCTTTCAAAATAATAGTGAACAGTGTGATACCTAAACTACCGATATTCGGTAAGTCGAAGCTTGTAATGGAGCATCAAACAGCGCTTTGGGCAAAAAGTGTTTGATTCGACACTCATCCGACACAACTCATCTACCGTCCCATTGAAAGTATAGTAAGAACTCTGTGTCCAGAGCATTGCATAAGTACTTTGAATTCAGAAGTCCGTTTCGTGAGCCCGAATCGACCAGGAACCCTTTCGCTTACTTGGTAGTTTCTCTACCAGTTGATCTATTGTGGTACGACCAATTGGATGCGAAAAAGTAAATGAATATCCAATGGTGTGCAGCCGCCATTCCAATGAAACACATCAGTCTTCCTGGTTTAATTCAATGAAACACCCTTGTTGGTAAATTCGCAAAACAACGAAAGGCACACGGCTGAACATGGCCTAATGAATAATCGCTTGAATCTATCATCATTGGATAACCAGTTGCATTAGTCTAACTAGATTGGCTGTACCGCAGTTATTCAGCTGGTAGAGCCACTGCTCGGTAAGAAGAAGGTCACCAGTTTGATTCCGGTTCTCAGTCTAGATAGTTGATGAGTGAAATGCAAATAGCTTTTCCATTATCCAAAATCCAGGCTTTTCGTACGAATGATGAATTTTACGAATTAATAGAGTACTTTCATTTCGCAGTATCTGCACTAGTTTTGTTCGGGAGACTTGGATACAGATAATCCGGTAAATAAGACAGATACAGCTGGTGATATCTCAGGCGGTTACATCAGAAGACACAGTGGTAATTGCAACTCGTCCCGGGTGCTTCCCTACATATAAAAATCATGCATATCTACATAGGTCAGATATAGTAACAAAAGACGAGGGACAGGAGACATAAGGGATTTTCACGAGAAACTGAAATTCCAAGTCTATCGGATACAACTGATCAGAAGGGACTCTGAAAATCATATGTCAAGTTGGCGGAATAACTTGATTCAGCGCAATACAGTGCGGCTAAATACAATGGTACTATCTGTCCAAAATTGCATTCAAATAGATCTCTCTGGAAAATTGTGGTTAGGTCACCCGAAGGAAACCATGTCTTGCTTTAATTGTTCAAGATATTTTTCGTTATATTTTTCATTAGACTAAACTGTGCTCCTCATTACCACACCTACTAATATTTCCGTTCTTCAAACGGAACACTACGCAAAACATGCGATATTTAGGTTACTCCAACTTCCTGTCTTGCAAACGTAGTACCATGTTTATCTTCTACGAGACCCCGGTGAACCTATCTGCCTATGATGCAAATGTACTTGATGGCTTCGCAATTATTCAGAATAAATAGAAAAACAAGAATAAGTGACTTTTGGATAGTGTGGAGTAGATCATTTCAGATGAAACTTACAGTGGTTAAAGAAGGCATGTAGCATACGAGACGCTCCAACGGACATTGATTTGTATTTCGCAACATTTCCATAATTTCTGGCCATCTGATTAAAGGCAAAGGCGGACAAGGAACAACGACCATTTTCAGCATCCATTACACACATATGATGTGTGCGTGTTGTGCAAAAGAGTGGGATTGAAAATCCTGTTGAATTAATTCCCATTCGATTCGAAAAAGATGATCGGGAAAGGCAGAAGATCTCATTCCCTTTAACGCATCGATATACCGTTTCACCTCATCCGTAAACTAGAAAATTTCCCTCGTCCTTTCCATCCATTCTTAGCTCACATATTTTTGTGTAATTTTTAGCAATTAAGTTACGAATTATTGAATTCGAATGCCTTCCAAAGTATTTTCTAAGTCGTTATCCAATCGGGGATTTGGATGGTTTGAACTTGAACAACTACTGCTGCTCCTGATTCCTAATAAGGATGCAGGCTGTACAATACTTTTGAGACTTGTCAATGACGGGCTCTGCTATTGCATGACAAAGTAATTCATACACAATTTCTTCAATTACTAACCAGTGGATCTAAACCAAAATGTTCTAATGACAAATTGTTGAATGCAAACATGTTCACGACACTCATATTTCATCTCACCGTTTGTGCTCGGTGACCACTTTGGCTGCCAGATAATTATCCTGATTGAACAGGTGTGTAGTGAAGTAGATACCTCTGTTATCAGGTAGAATTTTGGCTCCCGCCGTGAGAAGATATTCGGCGACTTCACCATTCTTGTGCATCGCGGCGTTGTGAAGCGCAGTCATCTGAAAAGGTGAACAGTTTTATTGTTCATGGACGAAGAGGAATCGAAAAACCGGCCAATTTATCCCACCACTCAGCTTCACTTCAGCCAATCTCGTAAGACCAGGGATAATGTGAAACAAGGGTTACTCACCCCGAGCCCATTTTTCTCATTTAGAAGTCTCTGGTCTGTGGTCAGAAGGATGGAACAAGTTTTTACATCCCCGTTCATTGCAGCATAGTGCAGTGGTGTGTTTCCTTTGCGACATCTGCAGGCACACAATAAGTGACAGCACTCATGAAAACCAGTTTTTGCCGTCCTCTAACTTGAGGGAAAAACTAACTGGAAAGAATACTGTACGTAAAAAATTAATAATACCCTTAGAGGTTAACATAGATAAACAAAGGGAAAGTGTCTGCTAAGACAATGAGCAAACGTCGAGCCATTTGTTTCGAAGGCATGATTGTTCACATTTTTTTTCTAGTAGAGTCACTCATACTGCGCGGACAATTATTCAGCATTTTTCTCGCAAATGGACATATTCCTGTTTGGTATTGATCTTTTGTCATGCTTGAGGGCGGACAGTATTGATTGACAGAACTTCCTATGTATCGACTGATATAACTTGGCAACGTTTATGAGCATACGCAGCTTAGCTCTTCCATCTGCTTGCTCATTCACTTGCTTACTTAAGTACTAGCTCGCGGCTTGCTCACCAGCTGCGGTCTCGTTACATTTACATCGATACAAATAAATGAAGTACAAAAATTACGTGTTCTACTACGGGGCCTTTAAATGTAACCGCGCTGTTCCATCACCTTCAACATTTATCACATAACCATCTACGATTTCTCCAATTTACTGTTCTGCTTATTGGCCATGACTGTAAATAACTGTTGTACAATTGGATTATTGCCACCAATGATAACATATTCTAATGAATTGCTGAAATCCTTCATTGGGGGAACTGCATCTGGCTGCTTGTTTCCTTTCGAAAATACGGTAAAGAATAAATGGTAAAGAATTCTCAGAATTTCCAGAGGCGATCTTAGAAAATACAGAGCTTGCCTTCGTGAAAGACCCATACACAACGTCAACCGTCCCGTGAAGATTAGCAACAACACTCGTTTCGTACTGAGTAACTTTTCGGTATTGTCAGACCTTTAAAATTTGAATCATCTCGAAAACATTGTCCAAATCTATCAATCATCAACACGTGGACTTTATTGGGTCTAATGACTAATCTTAGCTGGGTGTAGTCTTACTACAAGAAACTTGGCTTCACAGTGACATTGCCGATGAAATGGTTGAGCCAAGTGTTTTCACCGGGTATCGTCTGGATCGTTCTGTCGCACAACGGAAGCGGGGTGGTGGGGTTATCACACATATCAACAATCATTGTTACCAAAATTGCATGCTCGTGTTTATGTTTTCAACAGTATAGACTAGTTTCCCTGTTATTAAAAGCAAGCCTAAACATTTTGAGTGGTTTTCGCTCTCTTGTGCTTGTAAATGTTTATATTTCATCCAATTATTCTGTCGATGGCCATCAGGCATTTGTTGATTCCATTTTTACAAGTTCTAGTAGACTACACAGACATTTCTTTGTGCATAGTTTCTGGTGATTTCACTCGTTTTGACCGTGTTCCTTTTATCATTTCGGTCTTGTAAACAGTGTCAATGTTTCAACTAGAATGGATGCCTTCCTAGATATTTTCCATGTCAATAGTGTAAATATTTCTCCACCTCGTGTCGTCCCCCTGTTGGCTCAGCCGATCACGATATCATCTAGGGTTTGCCTAAGATTTATAGCCACACAAACCATCGACACTTCATGTAATGCCGCGATCGCGAAGCTTCCAAAAGGCAGGCATTTTCGAGGAACATAATGATGTTAAATGAAATGATTATCCAAACTGACTTTGTTATTTTCCCACACTCCGATATTTCTGTATCTCGGGATCATCTTACCACTTATTTTCATTTTGTTCCCACCTTTACAAATCCATCCAGACTCATCACATTCACTCCGATCAATTCTCATCCCATAACTTCAAACGACTACGTCGCCGAAAAGAATATGCCTAAACATAGGGATTACACAGAAGTCGAGAGCCTAATGAAATTATTCAGGACAGAGCTATGCAGACTGAATTACTTATATACACACAACTTCTTGGAACATAAAACTATAAAGAAACATGTCGATTGCTAGAAGATTATTATGGAGGTTCATTCGTACGCAAGCCTGCTGGTGTAGAAATCGAAGATTCGAACCCATCATTCAGTAGGGAGTATTAATGGGTTGGCGACCATCACCCCTACTTTTAAGAAGGATTCTCCTCAATTCCACCCACTACTTTCATCTCAATAGCTTTGAAAATTTTTGAAATGTTAGTCATCGCACATGTGTAGTTTTCCCTAAATATTTCAGACCCCTACAAGTTTTCCTATCGTTCCTAACGGGCCACCCTTGATGCCTTTGTCCTCCTGGTACATAGCATTCTCTCGTCACGATAAAAAGAGTAAAGTAGTTAGGATTTGCTTCCTGAACTACAGTGAAACCTTTAATTGTATCAGCAGGAATGAAATTCTTCTTTTCTCTGCAGTTTAAGTCTTGAGTCTCCTCTTATTTCTCTTTGGAGTGAATTTTTCGGTAGTGGTTACAATGGCACCAGCTCTGCTTATGTTACTTCCGCCCTTGATGTCCCTTATGGTACCATATTACCACCGTTTTTGCTTTCAGCCTATCAGTCTTCCATCCCCACCCAAGACTATAGCCTCCCCATTAAGTATGCTCACCATGTCCTTCTTAGCTCGCCATATTTCTGTAACTCTTCTTTCCCACCATTCAGAGTGGCATCACGGATTTTTCTGAGTGGCCGGCTACACACAATTTGGCTATCAATCTCTCAGATGTGAAGACATTCTCTCCTCACTTATGATAGACCAAATGTACTCCGATTCCACTGACTGATGTATTCTGGCCTCAGTTCATAAAGAAAAACTGAATCATTATGATTCTGTGAATTACATTAGTGTTGTTGTATTGTCAATCAGAACACGGAGCATTCGTAGCGTACGTAAACAAGCATGCATGTAATCCGTGCCAGACACTGACTACGCGAGCATTATGGACAAATCAACCAATCAATTTACAGTGACCTTGTGAATGGACATGAACAACCAATCATGGTATCGTACGTAAGCACAGGGAAAGAGAGTCAGACAGATCACGAGGAGCGCTCGATCGAACGCATACATGTACACAATGCACACACTACGGGCGTGACACTGGACAGAAGCTTTACCTGACCATAGCACGTATGCCACAGTTTTACAAATGCCAGATGTTTGTTCTTTTATGTTTCCCGTCTTAAATTCCACTCTGTACTAAATCACCTTATCAAATGCTATGTATTTCATTTGTTCTACCTCAGTGGATCTGTGCCTCTCCTGTCCTTCTTACGGGTCTGTTGTCCAAAGACTTCAAAGTAATCTCCAGATCCCTCAAGTTCTTATCCACTTTTAGGGATATAAAATGACAGCAGTCCACTCAAATCGTCTTTTCCCAACACAGTAAAACTTCATAAAAGCTTCCCACGAAATACTCACCGATTTTAATCGCCCTATTTATGAACACCTAATTAAATGCGCTTCTTCTTCTGCCACATATTCCAATTATATATACCTTCATGTGTGCACCCAAGCCTATGGCAGTTTCACCTTTCTGCACTTAGAAAGGCTTTTAAACAACCTCGAAACTGTAATACCTCATGTTAAAGGTCAACGGAACCAGTAAATAATCAGAACCTACCATATTCTAGCAGTGATTGTGTTCCCCCTCCCCCACTATGAGAATGTGTTATTTAGTTATGTGAAAGCTGAATACCCATCCTCAGGGGTGCATAAATCACCTCCTTGTCATCTGTCTGTCAAGTGATTATGAACACAACATGTATAAACACCTATCGCCTTCCATAAATGACCACTCCTTCTCACAGATCAAATACAGAACATCGATAACACAGACATCCCGCCGTACTCACCAGTTCATCTATTGTTATTAGGTTAGTTACATCAGTGCCGTAATCATTACTTATCTAACCGATCGGAGAGAACACCAATCGAAGTGACTCACTCAGGAATCTAAAATGGTTAATGAAGCCGAAAGAACCCCAACGGAACTCATATTTCATGTAGCCCGACAGCAAACTGGAACCGTTCAAATTTGGTCCTTAACAAAACCACAAATCATTGAAACGCCATTGCACGTTGCTCTATTCGAAACACTCATAAATTTCTTGCTTCAGAAGGGGAATGAGTTAGTTGTTCCACTACAGTCTCCCTTCGGGATTAGAGGTTCAATCTGTTCCACTCCCGGTTATTGAATTCCCGTTGACTGTATTCACCTGTTTCGTAGGGTGTGAAACTTTTGTGGCACCAAAATTAGATGCAATATTACTCACGTGTAGCAGGATACAGCCTTTTCAAGAGTCATTTATCTCAAAGACATTTCGCGTTGACTCGAAATTAAAATAAAGAAATCATATATGCCTGTTATGCCTCTGCTGCTCCAGCTGATCGTACGTGTATCATACTGTCCTTCCGTAGATTATCCTAGTTTCACTGCTAGAAGTTAAACCTTTCATTTTAGCCACTGAGAACAGAAGCAGCCTATAAGACTTTGTAAGCCAATTATGCCATCCGAAAACAAACAAGCTGACAATCACACATGCAAACTCACGGTCGCATCAGACAATCTTTTCGAAGAATCAGCTCTACCACACGATGATGTCCGTGTTGAGCGGCAATATGCAATGGCTGTCTTCCATTCTGGTCTCGTCGACCAAGTGCTCGTATCCCGTCGGGGATCTCCAAAATCATACGACAGAT